ACTCCTCTTTCGAAGCCTACCAACTAGGGTGTAGAGAAGAGTTTAGTAGTTTTAGTTAGCTTTTATACTATATTAACACTTGTAGCTTGCCTAGTTAGGTTAGTTTTCGGTATTATACTATATTTTACACTTCTACAACGTATATACATATATAATATGATTGGCTTATTGACGGTTGATCGTCACGGGATCATAAAAGGGCATGCCCATGGGCATGGAGGGCATGCCTCGATCTAGGGCATGCCCCTATGGGCATGCCTTATTTTTTACCCGTGCTCTACACCCTAATTAAGATCAACGTTAAAATATTTGGTTCTCGATATTATTTAAATTAATGTTAAATATTTTATTTAGAAAAAAAAGCATTAAAAAAAAGCATTAAAAAAAGGGCCGGTAAGTTTAACGGCAAAAAAAATTACCAACTAGGATTAGCCAATCAGAATGTGCCAAAAGCATCTGATCTGAAATTTTATCCGAGGTATGATCCGAGGTATGATCCGAGATCTACAAATTAACCAATCAAAATGAACTTCTGCTAAACAACACAAATATAAATCATTTTTTGTCCTATCAAGAACGGTATTTTTTGAGGTTAAGTTAGCTTTTAAAAAAAGATTCATATATATTATAACAATATAGATAAGTGTTTTTTTAAACATAATTTTTATAATTTTTATTAAATTTTTATGCAAAATAAAAAATTAAAAAATTTTATCGTTATGTTGTTTTTAATATATTGTTTATTTAAAGTTAGAGCTCTGCTCTAGCCTGTAGAGCCGAAAAATCGGTTAAGTTAATGTGAACCGTTAGCAGAGCCGAGCCAGCCGTTTGCATCTCTACTTATATAATTTAATTTTTCCATAACCTAAAAAAATATATATAATAAATAAGTTAAAAATTAATTTAATTACGATATATGTGTAAAAAGATATTCCTTACCTCTTCCAATTTTCGTTTTTTCTCTTGTAATTCCAAATGTTTCCGTATTTTTGGATTCTCTTTGGCGAATGATAATATTTGATTTTTATTCATACCATATACGAGTAAATTATCTACTTCTCTTGGGAATTGGAAAAAGAATTCGTTTAACAATTCAACCTGAATGAACATCACAGCAGTATAAGCAAGTTTTTCGGCGACCATATTTAAAAATGCTTCAGGGCAATATTGTTTGTTTTCGGAGGATTTGCATTGTCGTGATTTAAGGGCAGCCAGACGATATTTTAGTATCATGGATCGATCTCGTAGAAATATTGCTTCAAGAGCTTTTTCGATCACTTTAGAGTTGAAATGTAAACGACTATGATCATTATCTTCTATTATGTCACTGACTACAACAGATTGAGCCTGAATAATTGTAGAAGTCTCGTTCCCATTATCAACAACTGTACTTTCCCCAGAATCCCGAGTTTGAGCCTGTACACGTTTTGCTTCTCTCTCAGCATCAATTACATATTTGATTGCAGCTCTAAGTTTCTTTTTTCCCACAGTATCTTTAATGTTTTGTAAAGCTCTATTACAACTTTCCAATTCTTTTTCAAGAAGGGATATTGTCCTTTTTACACCATCGGTCCATTCTTGTTCACTGCATTCAACCTCATGTTTATATGGTTTTACACAATTTTCAACTTGATCTGAAGTTGTGTGAAATTTGTTACGTAAAATTTCATTGCTAAGACTTAATAGCTTACTACTTGTATCAGGATGATTATTTAATGGTTCCAATAATGCAATTTTTTCCATATTTGCCATTAATACACCAACTACTAGTTGAGTACTAGTTCGTCCAATGCCACTTTTCGTGAGGGCAGCAGAGCTCATGTCAAGTTTGTACCTCCAATAAAGTTCATCAACTGATACTTTTGGTAAATCAACGATTTTATTATCAGTCCAATATAGTTCAGCGCAAAGATCCATAACTTTCTGTTCTAACATTGATCGAACTTCATGTCTTACTTGTGGTTTTCCAAAAGAGTGTGCAAAATTTTTAAAATTTTGTTTAATGCTGTCAATGGTTTCAGCAACATATGATTCTGCCGTAATTCGCCTGTAAAAAAATAAATAAATAAATTATATAATTAAATAAGTATAAATAAAAATAAGTTTAAATGCACATATAATTTATAAATAAATTTACCTATCATTATATTGTACTTTGAATTGGTAACGAGTTTCTTCTAGTTCTTTTTGTACTGTCCCAACAATAGAAAATAAGGATTTTGCCATGCCTTCTTCCAATACTTCCATTAGTTTCTTTCGTAAAGTACCAATGCCGACTTGAATACCACGTTGACTATACACATAATTACTCCTGAAAAATTGATCCTCGTGACGTATTAATGCAGAAGTAATATTCTTTTTATTTTTAATGCTTGCAGGAGGTTTACAAACAACACCAATATAGCCCAAATGTAAAGGATAATCACTATTTCGCAAAATCGCGGCACCAATTTCAGGTTCCACTAAATCCATTTTAGTTATTACACCAAGAGTTCGCAAACCTAATGGATCAACTTTACGACCAGCTTTTAATGCCTCAGAATTTGCCAAATCTACATCAGCCGCACAAACAGCCAATATTATATTTGGTTCTTTGATATATTGTTCACATAATTCAACAATTTTGTCTTTTAAAGTTCCCGGTTGATTTTTGTTGTTTACTTGAATATAACCAGGTAAATCAATTAAAGTTAAATCAGGAACATTTGCCGAGTAAATTCGAAGTTCAATTGGTTTGTTGGATACACATTCTGATTCGGGCACAGCAAGGTTGAGGTCACGTAAAGTTTGTTGAATATGAGAGAAATCATGTATTTTTCCTAAACCTAATTGAGGGAATTCACCATATTCTTCTCTAGATTTAGGTGTATGTATTAATGTAAGCTCAATCGGTCTTCGAGTTACCATATTGGATCCCCTATAAAAAAAATAATAATTAAAATGATATAATTAAAATCAATATAAATATAAATATATATATATATATATATATATATACTAAACAGATTATTTTCGAAAAGAAAAAATATAAAGAAATATACTTTGGCAAAAATTCATGTCCAACGATAGCTTCGAGTACAGAACTTTTACCAGAACTCTGACTTCCAATAACCACGATACTAGGTAACTTAAGCCCTTCTTCATGATCAATGCTCATCAATATATTCCGAACTTCAATCAATTTTTTAGTGAGATTCATAAATTGATCATCTTGTGCACCACTTGACTTTTTTCTGGATGGCTTTCCATCATCGTCGTCATCTTCATCGTCTTTTTCGCCACTCATAAATAAAGCAGCCGCAGCAGCTGCGGCAGCTGCACCAGAATTCTCTGAAGGATCGGAAGGATCATCTTTTTTTATAAATCTAGGTTTATCGGATTCTATTAGTTGATTTGGTGATGATGACGATGATGATGATGATCTTGAACTTGTGGAAAAAATATTTATTAAAAGTTCAGGTACTTGTAATTCGATATCAAATTTTGACAATCCATCTGTAACAGTTCCAAAAGCAGATTTAAATCCATTAGAAATAGATGACAATAAATCAGAACTCTTAGTTGCCATATCTATTAAAACAGAAAATCATTATGAATTAGGGATAAAGAAAGATTTAAAAACTCGAGCATAAAAAAAAAAAATTAGATCTCAACTTACCATTTAGTTTATAATTGACATAAGTTAAACCACCAACTCCAACAGTTACGCCGGCAACAGGAATTCGCATGGCATGTAAGACGAATCTAGGGATAGCGGAAAATGCAAACGATCGTGCCTGAAGATCTCTCAATGCAATCACACGCTGCAGTTGAACATTGGAAGGACGACGGTGATTAAGGCTGTATAGAAGTGGGTTAGTGGCTAAAGAAGGACGTGTTGAGTGTAGCGTTCTTAGACGAAACCATTTTTGCATGATGGTGAAAAAACGAAGTTAAAACCGGCGAAGGTCGAAACGTTTCGTCAAAAAATTAAACTCTGTCAAATTGTGTCACTCCTTAGTATCTTATATAACAAAAGTTTTTCACACGTGATATAGTCAGTATGTTTGTGCTACGAAGGCAGTAAAAAAATTTTTTTTCTCGAAGCTTATTAAAAACCTAGATATACTGTAACGGCAGTGTTGTACAGTACATTGGACTAAATTGAACATACATTAAATCAGACTTTAATTCATTAACTGGTTATTTATTATCGTTATTGAATATTTTTAATTTCTGAATTTAATATTAATCCAACTCCATAATTAATTGGCGCGGATCTGCAGCGTTGTCATTTGTCATATAATTCATATTCATATGATTTTATATCATATGAAAATATCACATGACATTATGAATTGTTCGCCCAAACCTGAATTTACTGCAGAAGCATTTTTCGCATATCAGGACGAATTTCGCATAATTAATACAGTAATAGATAATGGCCAGAATTAAAGAGTAATATCTGGTTTACTACAGTATTTTTCCCCATCAGTTTCTATTGGGCACATAAAAATCTTGCTTTTGATCGTACGAAACATAAATCATCAGATTTTGAAATTTTCAATTCGATCAGATAATGACACGAATGTTAAAGTATGAAACATTTCTATCTGATTCGCATAATCTGCAGCGTAGCTTTAAAAAATTTATCACATAATTCTCGTAAATTGATTGTAACCGTTTTGCTGACAAAAGTTGACTCATTGATTTAGGTTGGGTTTGGCCTGGCTTCATTATAGCTAACATTGATTGGCTTGAAAAGAGAAATGCGCATACATGTGGTAGTCCCGTGATTTAACATTTAACATACAGTGTTGGCAATTCCCAATTCCAATAAATTTATTGATCATTGCCAATGCTAAACACTTAGTAACATCTTTTGTTATCATAAATTACTTCACAGGCAACTTAATTCGCAGAGAATTGCAGTCGATAAATTCGCAGATAAATTTGTTTCATTTCATTAGGACTAAGTTAGATTTAAAGTTAGTGCAATTTATAAAAAAAATTGTTGGCGAAATATATTGTCTACAAAATGAATTTGTTTGTGAATTAACCGTCTGTAAAATAATTTGTCAATAAAATGATAGTGAAATAATATGGACATAGATTTTTCGTATCATCTTTCAATTTATGTCGCTTCGAAATTGACGCATGAATCATGAATTTAAAAATAAACTACATTACTTTGCAATCGGTGAAGTTGATAAAAATTTATTAACGTAAATATTACAAATTTAATATACATTTTTGATTACTTAAATTTAAATTTTGTAAAAAAAAAAATAAAAATTTACTTTTACTCTGATTGCGTAAAAGCACCCACACATTCAAGTACATTGATATAAAGATTTTAAAGATATATGTATCTAATGTTTAAATTTGGGTTATGTGGAAAGTTTGAATTTTTTTTTTAATACGTTCAAACATTCATCATAACAGTATTTATTTATTTATTTTTTTGACTCACGATTCATCTTTGTGGTTTCACGGTTATTATTGAAGAAAAAAAATTATTTATTTTACTAAGTCAAAGATTTGATCTTTATTTTTTCTCTTATGTTACATCATCACTACTGATTTATTGTAATATAATTAATTTAATAATTAATTGTATTAAAAATCCACTAAAGTTATTCTTCAATTGATGAAGATTGAAAAATAACACATGTTAATTGAGAATCAACGAATTTTGTGATTGATTCGCTTATTTATTATGTGTTAGTTGTTTTTTAATTCAAAAGGCACATAATTATTTAATTTTTTTAAAGCATACTTAGCTTTGTGTGTTTTTAAGATTACATGATGGCTTATGCTTCTTTAGTACTCTTTGTTCCCCTCCATTCGGTGATACCTTGATCGGCTTCTGTGTTTCTTTTAACAGCCATGCAATATGGCCAAGAACCTTTTCTACATTAATTTGCATATCCCCATTGTTATTATAGGGGACAGAAATTGGCTTCGATAGCCCAAATGACGGCTTTCCCTTCTCATCAAGTGTACATGACATAAAGTACCATTTTTCCGCATCAGTGACAATCCCAAACACCTTATCCACGCCACGTTCATCATCGTCCATCTCATCGGCTTTGTGTTTGCGACCTGTCAAGGATGATTCCATCTAATGAGAATATAATCCTGACGTTCTATTGTATCTAATAACACCTATACACTTACAACAACTTATAGTATCATGCCAGGTTAATTCTGCTGATTTACGCAGCTCTATAACCTCTTGGTACCTACGAAATCTTCTTGTAACATTTATACCACGAACTACCCGCTGATTTCAAAAACAATAGTTAATATAATGAAAAGAACAACAAGTTTAAACTTTATACCTCTTCTTGTTTTAAACTTTCGATAAATGAATTAATAAATATCTCCTTGTCTCTGAATTCTTCACGAACGTTCATTGATTTAGCTTTAGGTACATTCCTTTCATTTTTAAATCATAATTGTCCATTGGTTCGATTTCTACTTTTCTTGTATGAGACCGTTGCTTTTTCATTTGTTTTAAAGAAGTTACTAGGCACATTCTCCTTCTCTTTTGAACCAGACACCTGTAACAGTATGTAAAAACGGTATGTTAGCAAGATCCTTTTTCATCATAAGAAGGTACATAGCTGATTCCTCCTTCAGAATCAACAGACCTAAAAGAATCTAATACGAAGCACGCGCGCCCTGAGGTGAGAAACATTACTATTCTATAGATGGGGCGAAATTATTCTTAGTAAAAAAAAAAAAGTTGCCGAAATAGTTGAAATCAATTAATGTTGAAATTGTCAAAATTATTCTTCTTAGTAAAAAAAAAAAAATTGCCAAAATAGTTGAAAATTAATTAATGTTGAAATTAGTGAAATTAATTTTTCAATAATTAAAACTAAATTTCATTATATTAAAACTAAGTATTTTAAACTAAAATAAATAGCTGTTTCTGTTGTCTATATAAAAAATATTAAAACTAAATCGAAAATTATAAGAAATCTAAAATGAAGTTTACCCATCTATAGTATAGCAAGGTATGTATGTCTAGAGATGAGACGCCTCACGTTGTCAGAAACGCTCTTCCTCCCCATTACATGCAGCTAATAGGGCGTAGCGTATCTCTACCCTGTTAGTATATAAAAATACTAACCTTTAATTTTTGTTTTAATAATAATACTTTCTGAATCGTCTTTGTATCAACTTTTAGGCTTTTTTCCAAAGCAACAAGTTTATCCCTCAGAGCTTGGTGAGACCTCCTTTGAGATGCATTTGAAAATCGTTCAAAAAATTACTCGTTCCATGTATTAATTCCCCATTCTCCAATTGGTTTCTGCTAATAATCCATATCAGTCATAGGACATGTCCAACTGAATGTTGTTACTTATAAATCAAATGAGTTGACTCACCTAATTTTATATGTA